GTTTGCCCCAGATAACTCCTCAGTTTTTTCATTTTTGCAACATATTTCGACTGCTAAGAGCAAATTTGGGCAGAAGAGATCATCGATAACAGAATGATGCATATGTGCGTAACAAAAGAAACTTATTTGTCATAAAAAGAGGGAAACGTCTTGCAAAAGTTCGCGACTTTAACTCTCAATCCGTATGCTTCAGCAAATGTTTTTAGAAAATTTAAATATCACTAATGAAATGTAATTTGCAATCAACAATCAGTCTCTTGTGAAGAAAAAAAAAGGAAAACGGATATTAGCTTTCACACTAAATAAAATTTAAATATCAATTCATTAAAAGGTTTTTGCAACTTGAGGTCCTTTTTGCAAACCTGCCATCGAATCTCAAACTAACTGATAATGGCGTCGCCTGTTTCTTTCATGGCTATACACACTCCTTAAAAAAAAAAACAACTGTTTTAGCAATGAGCTTGTTATCCTACTTATCTTAAAAATAGGATTTTCCCCTGTAACAGAACAAAGAAACATGTTTTATTCTGTCTCTGTTATAAGGCGAGGATTTTGTTAAATTTAGGATATGTAAGAGGAAATCGCTATTGATCACATAGCGCCAAGCATCCCTTTGAAAATGTCATTACACTCTACCATCAATTTTCGGCGTGCAGTCTTTTGTTGATGTAAGTAGAAAAGTTGTTTTATTAAAAAAAAAAGAAAAAATAGAAATACAACAACAACAACAACAACAAACAACACACTAGCTAGGTTGCCTTCTGCTGAGTCAGGATTGACTAGGAACAAACTGCCGGTGGCCAAAGTGTTGAGGGAGCCAATCCAGTTTCGATGATAAATATACTTTGCTATATGAGCTTGATACAACTAATGTATTCAACTAATGTCAACATTTTACATTGGGCTCGTTATACCAAATTGTCACTTTCGCAACACTGTTTTTTAAGTCTTACTCTCTGCTGAACTCATCGATTTCTTCAGGGAAAAAGGTTCCTAGATACTGAAGACCGCACCACGACTCCCAGAAACAGGTGAAGATTCGTTTTGTCCCTATCGATTTTTCAATGATTTTTTTTTTAAGCCGTTCGTAGGGATATTTCGTTGGAGTTTTCTCCTGTGTGTTTATAGCATCTCTGAGCTAGCCTAGTTTCTTTTTGCTTAAAAGCTATAAATGAAGAAAACTCTGAAAGAAAGAAAAGGGAACTATTTTAAAGAGTTAAGCAGGCTATCCATGTCAAGGATTCACAAGACTATGCATCGAATTGCATATGCACTCAGATCTAAGTTTTCTTTTAATTTCTTTCTGCAGTTCATTTTCCACTATAAGGAACATTATTAGCCTCCCTCTCCTCGTTAAATCTTCTTTTCTCACAAACGACGTTCGTGAGAGAGGAAGTCGTGACGAAAGCGCTTAAGCTAAGAACGTGAGCGGAAGGCTTGGAACGTTACCAGTTTAATAATTCTACTGTTATCCTCTATCGTAAGCCCTTATGATCCCGTTTCTTTTTACGCGCTCAGTCCTCTGCGTAGTCGTACGTTGAATTACAAAACAAAACGCGCCTCTGTCAGGGGCACCCAGCGAGAATATAGCTCAAAACCACTTAAACATAGCATTGTTGAACGTATTTTAGTATTTAAACGGGAAATATAGGCATATTTTTATCCCCTAAAAATTTGTCATCTGTTCGGATTTCCTAGCTGAAAGTCTTGTGATCCGAAAATCATGGGGATCAAAACTTAATACCCTTTCGAAAATCTCAGCCAGAAAAAAGGCTCCCGAAAATTCTAGGTGACGATTTTAGGGTAAAAATCCGTTAAAAATGGGCTATTATACCATTTTTTAGATGTTCGAAAATCCTAGGACAGACAGGCAAGCAAGAAATATTACAACAAATGTTCCGAAAATTCTAGATGTCGAAACATCTTCCGAACAGATATTTTCCAAACATTGAAGTTGGGTGCCCCTGCTCCGTGAATGTCCAGATGAACTACTTTTTCTCGCGGATAAGCCTCTTGACTCATAAGGTGCTTATTAATTCCAGAAAAGAGCGACGATTTAGTTGCACCTTAAAAGAGCCACATTTTTATGTTTTATTTTGTGCTCATGGGCGCTTAATGCAGATAAAACCGTTTTCTGAGCAAAAAGATAAATACAACAAAGTTTTAAAAATGAGGGCTACAGTTCCAGCTACTGGCAAAAACTCCTGTGTTATTATTGGTTATTTTCATAAAAATTGATAGATGTCCTGAATGAAATTAGAGGATCGAGCATTAAACTCGGGTTTGTCAAAATGATGAGCTCAGCTAGAACTATCTAATTAAAGATTTATAGACATAAATAATTGATTATTTGGTTTGTCTTCGTATACTATAGCGGCAGCCATTTATAATGGGTAATTTTGTCGTTAGTCAAATAACTATCCGTGGGCCGTTAATTAAATGTGCCATTTGACAGTATCGGTAGCAAAGTTTATAAACCCGATGAGCGACTTTAATGCAGGGGCATTGTTTACTAATAGGGAATTCGGCGCGTGAGCGGCAAAACCCTGCACGCAATAGCTAACCGCTTCGTGGCTGATTGAACTCGTAAAACTCATCTGCGATGAAACTGTATATTTATAGGTGGTTTTCGTGCAATCTCGGGGGATACAAATAACAATGGTGAAATGAACAAATGCTGGTGGACAAACAAAGCGAGCTAATGAGCGATCTTTTGTTTACTGTCCACCAGCATGGCGGCGATGACGTAACGTGAAAACCACCTGTCAAGGTCATGTTAAACCGGCGATGGTCGGTTGCTAGCTAGGGCTTTTCCTCTTAAGAGTGGTTGTCACTGAGAGAAAACCGGGCAAAATGTTATTATTGGTTATTTTGATAGATGCCCTGAATGGAATTAGAGGATCGAGCATTAAACTCGGGTTTGTCAAAATGATGAGCTCAGCTAGAACTATCTAATTAAAGATTTATAGACATAAATAATTGATTAGTTGGTTTGTCTTCGTATACTATAGCGACATCCATTTATAATGGGCGATTTTGTCAGTACTCAAATAACCATCCGTGGGCCGTTAATTAAATGTGCCATTTGACAGTATCGGTAGCAAAGTTTATAAACCCGATGAGCGAATTTAATGCAGGGGCATTGTTTACTAATAATAAGGAATTCGGTGCGTGACCGGCAGAACTGTGCACGCTATAGCTAATCGCTTCGTGGCTGATTAAACTCGTAAAACTCATCTGCGATGAAGCTGTATGGTTATTAATCTCATGTCAAGGTCATGTTAAACCGGCCACGGTCGGTTGCCAGCTAGGGCTTTTCCTCTTAAGAGTGGTTGTCACTGAGAGAAAACCGGGCAAAATGTAAAAATGTCAACGGAAGGGGGTCAACAGAATAAGTTCATACTAACATCATAGATAGATTAGGTGGAGTAATGCACAAATATAATAAACATAGGTTATTCACTGCTCTTGTGTTAGAGATACAAGCATCACTTTATTCGACCCCCTCGGACGCCATTTTTACAAGCAAATTTAGACCATTTCCTGTCTGAATTACCCCCCCCCCCCCCCCCCCCCCCAAAATACACCCAAAATATGTATAGAAAAAAACCGCGCCCCAAAAACAACCAAAAAAAGGACCAAAAGGACCGGATCCATACCGGTTCCCACCGTTTCCCGGAAATCAGTCAAATTTTTAAAATAAAGGCTTCAACCGCGGAGAATGGAACCGGGCAATTACCAATGTCCAGTCTTAATTACCCCCCCCCCCCCCACCCTTCCCGCTACAAGCGTTTAGGAAATTGGTCAGCATTTTTCCAAGATCCGCACCTGGGGCTGGTGGCCGCTTAATGAAGGTTCAACTGTATTTCATCTCACAGCTTTGGATTTGGCATTCACTAACAAGGCCAAAGAGATCTCTTTCGTGTTCATTAACCATTTTAACATTGTTAAAATAATAATGAACGATTGTTAACTACCCGGTTTAAGCCCTTGTTCTAATTAGACACGCAAATGTTGTGGCAACTGCAGAGCCCCGCGGACCATATATTATAAGCGACTCATGCAATGGCGTAATAATGGTTGATTAAGGCGCAGAAGCCTTGTGGACTGGGGATATAATTCTTTATAATGATAAGTAGACTTTCAATTCACTTTCTTCGTAAAGTTTCATATCCCCTTTGCCTTCAACAGGCATTTAAAAGTCTAAGAAACTTAAAATGTTTCCGCTCCATAATGGGCACCATTCGTATTTTACGTCAAATTACACTTGAACTTCCATTAGTCAGCACAATGCAATTATCTGTACTGATATACATGGTCATACATGTATACTAGCTTTGTCATTTGGCATTGGAACATAATTAGAGCATTTTATGCGTCATTATTTTCTTCATTAACTCTGTGGCGTTTTTATAGATGATAAAAAGGAATAAAAGTGCAAAAGCCAGTAAGTCCTCCAACGAAAGTGACGATTCGGTAAAGCTGAGTTGTCCACAATAATTAACAAAATAAGGCTTTGTTGATTTAGAGTCAATTACGCAATGCTAAAAAACTAAAAGTCTAGGAAGCGCCAGCAACATGAGAAAATGCAAAGGGTGACAGGCCGCACATCTATACCGGCGTGAAACCTTGTGTAAACCTTTTATATTTTAGCTCTAACGAGCATGTCCTTAAGGGATTTTCCTTTCTTGTAGGAAATGATAGGTGGTTCTTTGAAAATTTGGCGAAGTAACGGTTGGTTTTGTATAAGATTCCAGCTTTTCATTAAAACTTCTTTTAAAGTAGACACTGAGGGCTGGTACTGTGTCACAAAAGGCAATATTTCTTTTTCCTCTTTGTTGTTGTGTTTCAGGAGAGCAGACTCCCTCTCTGTGAACTTTATATCTGATAGAAGGTTTTCTATCATAGTTTGTGGGTAGCCTGTGTCAATCAAGCGTATTTTGAAATTTGAAATATTTTCCTCAAACGTAGATTTTGAGGAGTTTGTTCGTTAAGGATTCTCAAGGCTTCTCCTTTGACAAATCCTTTTTTAACACTCGGCGGGTGACAAGAGGTGAAATGTGTGTACTGGAAGGTTTCCGTTTTTTAAAATGTGTCTTTACATCAAGGATAGATTTTTCCTTGAATCTTGTGCCTTTGTATACAATCGTGTCTGAAAACACAGTCTCAGTGTCAGATATTTCGGCCGTGAATTTGATAGTTGGGTGATGTAAGTTCGCTTGTTCGATGAAGGCTTCGATGTCTGGTTTACTGATGTCCCATAGGGAAAAGATATCGTCAATGTAGCGTTTCCAAACTGTAGGTTTTAAAACGGTTCTGCTTAGAATTGTCGTTTCAATATGTGCCATGAAAATATTGGCAAAAGAAACTGCTGTCTTTGTACCCATTGCAGTACCATGGGTTTGTAAGTAGTGTTTTCCATTGAACTGGAAAGAATTTTTTTTGAGGATTAGTCTAAGCATTTCCCTCAGGTAATGTGTAGGAATAGGAGGGTTGTCTTTGTAGAAGTTTTCATATGCTTTGCAGACAATTTCAATACCCTCGTTTTGTGGTATATTTGTGTAAAGACTTGTGACGTCCATCGAAACAAGAAATGTTCGTTTTTTCACCTTTGTGTTTTCAATAAAATTTATAAAGTCGGTGGTATCTTTAAGGTATGATTTCTGTCTTTTTGATATTGGTTGCAGTAATGTATCAACAAAAGAGGAAATTCTTTCTGTTGGACCATCGCAGCCGGAGATAATTGGTCTCCCGGTAATGGTTGGCTTGTGAATTTTCGTTAGAGTGTAGAACTCTGGTATTCTGGGTGGATTAGGTGTTTGAGATAGCCATTTTCTTGTCATGTCATCAATATGATTTTCACGGTGAAGATCTGTAATTAGGCGCAAGACCTTGCTGTGCGTTTCTTCCACCATGGGTTCAGAGAGAGGTCTGTAGTTATGTTTGTCTTCGATTTGTATTTGACCCTCTCTTATTTTGTCGGTTTTGTTCATGACTACTGTAGTGCTCCCCTTGTCCGCTTTTTTAAGGTTGATGTCTGTGTTTTGCTTTAATTCTGTTAAAGCTTCGTGTTCCTTGCGTGACAAGTTATTTTTTGGCTTTGTTATTTTTATCTCTGGGAGTTGTGATTTAACTTCTTCCAGATAGCTCTCGAGGGCTACTGATGGTTGAACCGGTGGGTTCCAGTCAGATTTAACGTAGAAAGGGTGAACTTCCCTATTTTTTCCGTGGAACATATATTTAAGGCGCATTCGTCTTGCAAAATTTTCAAAATCTCGTAACAACTGTCGTCGCATTTTGTTTGTGTTAATAGATTTGTTGACTGGTATAAATTTGAGACCTCTAGAGATTAAACTAATTTGCGCGTCAGTTAATTTTCTGTTTGAGAGGTTCTTAATATATTTTCCCCCTTTGGTAGTTTGATAACTGACTTTTTTCTTGGAAGACTTTTTTCTCCTTTCTTTGCGTGTAGCAGTTTTCCTTTGTATTTTTCTAGAGAATGATTTCCCTGTAATTTTGTTTGAACCACCCACGGTGTCGTTCACACATTTAACAGACATTTGTGAGTACTTTTCACAATTTTTATTCTCTGTGTCACTATTAAGTTTTGACAAAAGGTACTCGTATTGCTCTTTTAGTTTTGAAGCTAAAGCTTTGATTTCATTACGATCCTCTGTAGTAGATACGTTTACATTTTTGCTGTCCTTGCGGCCCTTACGGTTTGCTAAGGACATTTCCTTATGTAGTTTCTGTTTCTGTTTTTCTAGCCGACGGTAGTGAAACTTAGTTAGGGCTTCGACAAAACAGCGCTCGGCTTTCTGTTTGATGGCCTTAATGTCCTTTTTAAATTGTTCATTTGCCGGTATGTTGGCCCGTGCAGAGTATCTAAGTGGCTTCGGACAAGCGTTCCTTTCCAAATGATTTTTCAGAAGTTTTATGGAATCTTCTGTTTTCTTTATCTTTGCTGTTGTGGTGGTTGGAACTTCGCTTGCTTTCCTTTTGAAATCTTTCTTTTTTGCTTCGTTCTTCCTTAGTGGTTCTTGTGGTGGAGGTTGTTGGTAGCTTGTCAGCCCATAGTCCTCGGTGTCGCTGCTATTTTCGTCTCCTTTACCGATCAGTTGATCGTATTCTGTGTTAAGCAGGCTCTGAGAGGTTTCGGCTTCTATGTTGAGCAGGCTCTGAGAGGTGGCGTCATCACTATCGCCCTCCATGTTAGTTTTCTGAAGAAATGTGAGTTTTACAAGCAAGACCGGCGGTTTCGAATCTTACGATTCTCATCAGTTGCTATGTAGTTGGAAGGTTGAGGTTAACTCTGAACCATTCCGAATTGCTAGATTTACTAGGGGTTTTTATACCCACCTTGATTTGTTTGGAGGATCGAAAATGGTGCAGTATGATTGGCTCCTTGCTAGCCAATCAGGTTGCTGTAGGTTCGATCCAGTATGTCCAAAAGCTTGGGTTGTGTTTTTTCAAAGGTTAAAATGTGAAAAATCGAAGTCTTGCGATGTCTTATTGTAAAATTTAAAGGTATAACGTAGTAATATATATTATGTTTAGTTGTTCTTCAAACATCTGAGGAATGAAGTTGTGTAGTTTTTGTAAATTTCGTGCAAGACTTGCGTGTACATCTATGTACTGTACAAAAATTCAAATGTGTTGTTTTCGAGTGGTTTCACTGGCACAGCAGGGCACTGTCTGGCAAAAGTCAACATGAGAAAATGCAAGGGGTGACAGGCCGCACATCTATACCGGCGTGAAACCTTGTGTAAACCTTTTATATTTTAGCTCTAACGAGCATGTCCTTTAGGGATTTTCCTTTCTTGTAGGAAATGATAGGTGGTTCTTTGAAAATTTGGCGAAGTAACGGTTGGTTTTGTATAAGATTCCAGTTTTTCATCAAAACTTCTTTTAAAGTAGACACTGAGGGCTGGTACTGTGTCACAAAAGGCAATATTTCTTTTTCCTCTTTGTTGTTGTGTTTCAGGAGAGCAGACTCCCTCTCTGTGAACTTTATATCTGATAGAAGGTTTTCTATCATAGTTTGTGGGTAGCCTCTGTCAATCAAGCGTATCTTGAAATTTGAAATATTTTCCTCAAACGTAGATTTTGAGGAGTTTGTTCGTAGGATTCTCAAGGCTTCTCCTTTGACAAATCCTTTTTTTAACACTCGGCGGGTGACAAGAGGTGAAATGTGTGTACTGGAAGGTTTCCGTTTTTTTAAATTGTGTCTTTACATCAAGGATAGATTTTTCCTTGAATCTTGTGCCTTTGTATACAATCGTGTCTAAAAACACAGTCTTAGTGTCAGATATTTAAACCTTCTATCAGATATAAAGTTCACAGAGAGGGAGTCTGCTCTCCTGAAACACAACAACACAGAGGAAAAAGAAATATTGCCTTTTGTGACACAGTACCAGCCCTCAGTGTCTACTTTAAAAGAAGTTTTGATGAAAAACTGGAATCTTATACAAAACCAACCGTTACTTCGCCAAATTTTCAAAGAACCACCTATCATTTCATACAAGAAAGGAAAATCCCTAAAGGACATGCTCGTTAGAGCTAAAATATAAAAGGTTTACACAAGGTTTCACGCCGGTATAGATGTGCGGCCTGTCACCCCTTGCATTTTCTCATTTTTGTGTGGCATCCAACGTATTTAAGAAAGAGTTATTCAAGTAATTCGCAAATTGTGAGAGTTGTTCGAACGAGATATAATTGCTGTTTTAACACTGAACGAAAAAATGTATTTGCACAAATAATTATAAAATGTGCTCTGAGCAAATATGTTGCAACAAATAATGTAAATACTGAGGAGTAAATTTAGGGCAAAACTGGTAAATGCCACATCTGTATAGTACTTAAAAACACGGGATGAAAATAAGTTGGCAAATGTGGCATTTTCTAGGTTTTACCCCCAGATAACTCCTCAGTTTTTTTCATTTTTGCTAGATATTTCGACTGCTAAGAGCACAGTTGGGCAGAAGAGATCATCGATAACAAAATGATACGTATGTGCATAACAAATTAAAAGAAACTTAATTGTCATAAAAAGAGGGAAACGTCTTGCAAAAGTTCGTGACTTTAACTCTCAATCCGTATGCTTCAGCAAATGTTTTTATAAAATTTAAATATTACTAGAGAAATGTAATTTGCAATCAACAATCAGTCTCTTCTGAAGAAAAAAAAAGGAAAACGGATATTAGCTTTCACACTAAATAAAATTTAAACATTAATTCATTAAAAAGTTTTTGCAACTAGAGGTCCTTTTTGCAAACCTGCCATCGAATCTCAAAGTAACTGATAATGGCCTCATTGTTTCTTTCTATACACACTCCTTAAAAAAACAACTATTTTAGCAATGAGCTTGTTAACCTACTCATCTTAAAAATCCCCTGTAACAGAACAAAGACCGTTATTTGCCGCATTACTTTTAACCGACGAAGATCCCTACGTTGACGTTGATGTAATTCATGATCTTGCCCAACTTCGTCTAATGCGAAGAGAGGCCGAAGTGAAAACAACGCGTTTACTCTTAAAACCATCCAGCTTTGCTATTTGCGCTTTTCCCGCAGTTTCTCTAAATATATACCATAGAAGATTCGATCCACCAATGAATCACGTCTGTTTCCTGGAAACCGACATTCGGGTATAAAAAGAAAAATCAAACTGTCCGTTGCGAAATGAACTGAGCCGAACTGTGGTTTTGAAATAATTAAGATTTATCTATTTTAACCTTTGTATTTTTTCCTTATTCACTTTAATTTATATCTCATTATTTTATTTTTTTTTTACCCTCGACTTTTTCAGGTACGCACGTGCGTACCGTGCGTACAGGTAGCTACGCCCCTGATTTCCGCTGTTATAAGCCAATGATTTGGTTATAACCTTTAACTCATAATCTTGGAAAATTTGCAGTACAGCTGGATACAGCTTGTTTATGATCATAAAACTCTAACGTACTTAAAACATAAAAAAGGCTGCAAGTGACAGAACACGAAAAAATAATCGAGTGCGCGTTTTAACAAAATACCTTTCTTTTCTTTAGCGGGGAGTTCCAGAAATGACGGCAAGAATAGTTTTCCGTATCACAGTTGTGGCTCTCCTGGTCTACCTTGCAGTAACTCAAAAATGTCCTGCAAGTGGAAGATCCGAGAGTTCCATCTTTGGCTGGATGTTACGGGGACACGTATACGACACTCTTCTAGCGGAACTTCCCTTTACATGCGTATTCAAGTGTCGAGAAGACAATCGATGCCAAAGTTTTAACTGGGTAATCTCTCTTCTCACCTGCGAGTTTAACAACCGGACAAAAGAAGCCAGGCCGGAGGACTTCATTCCAAACCCGGAAAGATCTTACTATCCACGCGATTTAAAGCGAGGTGAGCCAGCATACCAGGAAGGGGGGAATTCCCTATAATGGGGACTAAGTTACATTTTGCCTAAACCGCGCTTGAACATTTAGGCTCAAATCTGTCTTTTGGAGTAAATTGAAGACCGATGCTCAGATGTCAATAAAAACAAAGGTGAAAGTTCCAGGGGATCGAAAGGCTTTTAAGCAACAAATTTAAGTCCTTAACTTTTTAAGTCCTTGCGTAGCGTGTACGTCAACAATGACGTTACCATGGAAACCGAATTTTGACAGCCGTGTTTACAAAATTAGCATTTTCTCTAAAACCTGAGGTTTTATTTCTATGTTTACTAATTGTATCATTTTAGTTATCACTTAATTTAGCATTGTTTACATATTATTAGTCACATTTTATTGACAGCATGGACGCACCTGGTGCCAAAAATAAGATGCGCTGGGTGCGATTGTTGAAAGAGCTTATTTTGCTTTGTCTTTTGCTGTTTTCTTTTGTTTTGTTTGTTTATATATTTAATATTTTTCCAACTGACATTTTTCCCTTTCCTTCTACTTCTTGCCACTTCCTTCTTCTCTCTCTCCCATTTCCCACTTCGGCATTAAGTAAAAAGTATGTAGGGTTAAAAAGCATACTGATGAATTAACATAGATCTGTTTCTTACCGTTTAGTTCCCCTTGGTTCGATTCAAGAACTGCCAGCTGAAACTTGTGACGAAATAAAGAGGAGTGAAGGACACGCTATTAGCAGGAAATACTGGTTTTCCACTTTAAAATCTGGTACATCTGTAATGGCCTATTGCAATATGAAGACCAACGGTGAGTTTGGTCAGACGAGTTATAGATAATCGGCGAGTGAAAAGCTTGATGTTTTTCGATATTTTATCATGCCTCATCGCCGACTAAGTTTTAGCGGGAGATGTAAACTAATCATGCAAACACACACAAAAAAAATATGAAAAAAGAAATTTTGAGCAAAAACTCATGTTAGATAGAAAGGGTTAATGCCGTTCAATAATGTTTGTTTGTGTAGACATTGACGAATGCAGTGTTTCCCCTTCTGTATGTGACATCAACGCCAACTGCTCCAATACTCGTGGATCTTATTACTGCACTTGTAAGGCAGGATACACTGGCGATGGAAAAACTTGCCAAGGTAATATAAGATACTTTAGCTAATTTCAACTGGAATGAATATTTCCATTAAGAAAGTGTTTTTTTTTTTTAAATAAATGTTGTTCTTCTTAGACACTGACGAGTGCAGTGCTTCTCCTTCTGTATGTGACATTAATGCCAACTGCTCCAATACTCGTGGATCTTATTACTGCACTTGCAAGGCAGGATACACTGGCGATGGAAAGACTTGCAAGGTAATATAAGATGCTTTATCTAATTTCAACAGGACTGAATATTTCCATTAAGAAAGCGTTTTTTTTTAAATTTTTTAAAATAAATGTTGTTCTTCTTAGTCACTGACGAGTGCAGTGCTTCTCCTTCTGTATGTGACATTAATACCAATTGCTCCAATACTCGTGGATCGTATTACTGCACCTGTAAGACGGGATTTACAGGTGACGGAAAAAATTGCCAAGGTAGGAGAAAATACTTTAGCTAATAAGTTAGTTTACTGCCGTAACATCAGAGATGGCAGTTTCCTGGAGACGTGTGACATCATTTAAAATGGCGACTAATAATGAGATCGCGGTAATCCATCGAATTCGTGATTGTTTCTGGTATCGGGACGCTTGATGTGTTTTCTACACTTAAAATGCAACGTTTGAATTCAATTATTTAACGAAAAGTGATGTTTAAATAGACGGCTTCACGATCGTAGTTGCATTATGGGTAATCAGCGCAAGAGGGCGGGAAATTCAAAAATTTGTATTGGCATTCAAAGCCAGCTAATTCTTCCTGAATTCATATATTTGATGCTTTCTCCTTGAAGAGAATAAATTTATTTACGAGTTCAAAGCACTAAATCTGGGTTGCAAAGAAGTCCGTGATCAGTTATTAGAAAACCTGGCCAGAAAACCTTGATTTCTCCTTTCATTTTCTGTACTTCGACAGTATCAAAATTACTGTAACAGAAAATGTATGGAAAAATTGAGGTTTTCTAAAAACTGATCTTGGACTATTATGCAATGCAGATTCAGCTCACAAGTTACACTTTTCAAAGAGAACGTGGTAAATATATATGAATTCAGGAACAATAAGCTGGCTTTAAATTCCAATACAAATCTTTGAATTTCCCGCCATCTTGCCCTGATTACCCATGATGCAACTATGAGCGTGTTCAAAGAAGGCTACTGAAATCGGATCCCTTGACTTTGCACGTGCAAGCTAGTGAAGACTGAGTTTTTGGAATTGCCATTTTGTACTTTTTTTTGTATTTTAGTATTTCCTTCATTTATTCATATTACAGGCCATTTATATTTTATTACAGATTCGAAGATACCATTCATAAGATTTCAGTTATGTATCACGGATTACAGGAATAAATGGTCGGGAGAAGGGCAAGATATTGTGAAACTAATTACATGCCCTATGATTAAATAACAGTTTTATTTAGGGTAAAAGAGAAAAAAAGATAAGTATATGAAGTATGAAATATAAAAGAGAGGAAAAAGAAAAGTACGCAAAAATACCTACGAACATACGAGGGTCTGTATGGCGGTGATTATACTGAGCAAGATAACAGGTAGTATAGTGCTCGTTTAAACTTTTAAATCTCTAATGTCAATTTTATTACGAGGAAAGGGACTTAGCGTAGGATCATGAGAAAGAGTCAAGACTAGCAAATTATCAGCTATTTGTAGAGCAATGCTACCACCAGTACTTGACGTTATAAGTTTGAAAGAATGTGGTCTATACAACTTGTTATCGACTCGGTTATGCGGGTTTATTTTATTTTATTTTATTCTATTTTATTAGCTTCGCCTATTACTGAACAATGAGTAATAAATGCTTAATAGGCAGGGGTGCGACAACAGCGGTGGGCCAATTACAGTGGTCCCAGAGCTTAAAAGATATGTAAGAAACAGTAAAACTTCTTATGACCATTAAAAACAACAACGGAGACGGCCGATAGACACGTTACGTTACATTAGCCTGTCCCTGTATATGTTTGGTCACAAATGAATGGTAGATCCAGTATACTTTGTAGCGCGCCTCTGGACACACTCGAGCTTTCGAATCAGGTCTATTGACTGCGGAGTCCAGACTTGCGTGGCATAGCCAAGATGGGATCTTACTAGGGTAAGGTATGCCGAGTGTCTAACCGTATGAATGCTTTTGACGAGTCTGGTATCTGGTGTTTCTCCGTACATATCCCAGGGGCCTGCTGGCCTTTAAGTGCATTGTACATTGACTTGCTTATTCCACGGGAGGTTATCAGTGATGTAAACACCAAGATCCTTCTCGGCAGAGTCAACTTCAAGCTGACAGCCGGCCATATGATCGACAAAGATGACGGGTTCAAGTTTCCTAGTTATGCGCTGCGCTTTGCATCTGCTGTATTTAAAGTTTAGGCTAGAAGAATCTGACCACTTGACCAGGTCAGATAGGTCCTCCTAAAGTTGTTCTGCATCGCGCGTTGATGTTATTTCTTTGAAAACCTTTGTTTCATCGGCAAAAGCGGCAAACTGGCTTGATCTAACAGCATCTGGCATGGCAGAGAGTTCAGACACAGAAGGGTTGTGGGTTGCTTATGGCGGATTGCCGATTGCAGACTTCTTGATGAATTTTTAGTTCTATTAAGAATTCAAAGTGGACTAGTGATTTTTCAATTAGTGTTGTTTTTCTTAGACATAGACGAATGCAGTGCTTCCCCTTCTGTATGTGACATCAACGCTAACTGCTCCAATACTCGTGGATCGTATTACTGCACCTGCAAACCAGGATTTACAGGTGACGGAAAAAAGTGCCAAGGTAGGGGAAAGTACTTTAGCTAATAAGTTAGTTTACTGCTGTACCATCAGAGATGGCAGTTTCCTGGAGACGTGTGACATTTAAAATGGCGGCTAATAATGAGATCACGGCAATCCGTCGAATTCGTGCTTTTTTAAAGGGGCCGGGTAAAAAAAATGCAACGTTCGAAGACAATTATTTATTGAAAAGTGATGTTTAAATTACTCGACAGCATCGCATCGTCCGTTAAATGCCCCATCTTGCACGTGCAAGGAAGTGAAGACTGAGTTTTTGGAATTGCCATAAGCAGATGATTATGTCATTGAGATGCAAAAGTTAAAATGTGATGATATCTAACGAAGACAACTAAAAAATGAGCAGCTAGATGGAAACCAAGAAACATTTTTTCCCCTGTTAATGAATTTTAATCTCCTTTCAGCATGGATTGATCATGACTGAATAGTTCTTCTAAGAATTCAAAGTGATTTCTAATTAATGGTGTTTTTCGTAGACGAATGCAGCCCCCCCCCCCCCGCCGCCTTCTGTATGCGATATTTACGCACTATAAATGCACTAAAATGGGGTGTGTCGAGGGGTGGAGGTTGTAGGAGTTTAGGCTGAACACGATGAAATATAGCTCCCTTGCAGCTTGACAAGCCCGATGAATCAGTCTCAAAGTAAGTGTCCTTTCAAAGAAATGATGACAGACAGAAGATGGCAGAATTGAATTAAGGTGGAATTGTCCAATTTCGAGGCCAACATTGAGAGAGAGAGAGGAAAAAGGACTTTGAGCACGACATTGCAGCGTTATTCCCTCAATTGACCCAAGTTCTAAATAATGTCACAAATTGTAGCTGTCTTCCTGATTAATTTATTCACATCCCATTTCAGGATCGATAGTTCCAACAGAATGTAACTCCTACATTGACCTTGATGAGCCTGGCCGATATTGGAGTAATAATAGTGGTTCTGTAATCTGCGATAATTATGACCCTAAATTTGTCAACAATAAGTGGTATCGCTTTGTTGGAGGAGCTGGAAGGATGATGGCGTCGTATTGCATTCCCAAATCAACTTGCAGTACCCATAGATCTTCATGGATAAATGGTGATCATCCGACTAGTCTCTACACCACGTTGACAACAACTGTATGCATGCACTGGGGTTCAGACTGCTGCGAGAGATCCTACCCCGTTGGCATAACACAATGTGACGGCTACTACGTGTATAAACTGCAAAAGCCCACATCATGTCATGAGAGTTACTGTGGTGTTTTAGGTGAATATTCGAAGAAAATACTTTTATGATAAGTCTTAAATAACTGTGTTTGTTTTGATTACGTGCAAGAAGATTTATCCGCCTTGCTATAAATTAAAGAGTTTCCCTTCGTATGGATAGCATCATTTGAAAGATAACTTGTTGTTCGATAGCACTGCTATATATAAATATTCTAACTTCTCGTATTTCCTCGAATAATAGCCGGGGGCGATTATTTCTTTTTTAGCACCAAAAGGAGGCGATAATTCGAGGGAGGCGACTATTTCAAATATTGTTCACAAGAAGTCGTGCCCTAAATATTTTGTTCTATTTTCCCATTAAATAAAAAAAAAAATGAAGTCAAATAAACTGAACCTTGGAATTTAAAGTGTTCCAAATTTGGTTTCTTGATTAATTTTCACTGTAAATGTCCGCGGCATCAAAGCTTGAATCGTCACTGATCAGTTATGCTGGATCAGACTCCACTTTAGCTTCATCCTTTGGGATAAATATTTTGTGGTTAGAAATACGGTGAAAAAATCGACAATCTTGGTGTTCGGCTGTTATCTGTAGAAAACGAAGCGCTTTTGACATGCCATTTAACCTCATAGTAGTTTCAATCTTTTTAAAAACGCGTGTGAAAGATCAAGGAGATGGCTCCCGTCGTTTGCTAGAAAGAAGGATTTGATTAGTATGTATCGAGGCGCTCTTGTTAACGGGTTTTTAAACATTTTGGTCTACTTTAACAAATTAGCGAATAATTTTTAAACAGCTCGATAGATTTTTTTAAAAATTTAAGATTCTTCAGATTAACCTTCTTTTATATGACCTAGTTTTAGTTTCAAGATTATTGATATATTTTAAGGCAGTAAAATAAGGGCTACAATTCGTTAATATTTTGGCAGAAATTTTGTGTTTACAAGTGTGAGCCTCTCATTATTCAGGGTATTGTGTCCAAGTTTCACTTTTTCATGCACAACAATAGCTAGCTTTTTTGCGTATTTCAAATGCTTTGTTAGTTACTGCTGTTCACGTGAAAAAGAAACTTGGAGACAATTCCTTACATAACTGGAGGCTTTCACTTGTAATGACGAAACTTCCCATAAAAAAAGTAACGAATTGTAGCCCTTATTTTACTGCCTTAAAATATATCAATAATCTTGAAACTAAAAGGTCATGTAAAAGGAAGGTTAATCTCAAGAATCTTAAATTTCTAAAAAAATCTATCGAGCGGTTTAAAAATTATTCTCTAATTTGTTAAAGAAGACCAAAATGTTTACAAAATCGCTAACAAGAGCGCTTCGATACATACTAATCAAACCTTTTCTTTCTAGCAATCGGCAGGAGCTATCTCCCATGATTTTTCACGCCCGCTTTTAAAAAGCTTGAAACTACTATGAGGTGAAATTGCGTGTCAAAAGCGCTCCATTTTCTACAGATGACGGCCAAACAACAATATTGTCCATTTTTTACTGTGTTTCTAACAATAAAAACTTTATCCCAAAATATCTCGATAATGCTCTTACAGATTTCGCTTGAACTTCACGAACATCGAGGCTGCTATTGGATAAAAGCTCCCGTGAATGATTTTCGAAGAACAGTTCCCAGTGCCGAAATATACTGCTGCAAGTAAAATAGGTAATAGCATCATTTCGTTGCTATGACGACTTCGATGCCTTTGCAACCCTGGTTATAACAAATTTTCACCTTTATCTAATTCAACTGTGGTGGCAATTTTTCCAAAACTTCGTTTTTGGCGACGTAGTTTATGCTCAAACTTGGGAGGTATTGGCCCTCAAAAACTGTATCGAGCCACCTTAAGGTTACCGCGCGATGGGTATCCCCAGCGGGTAACCCGCTATATGACCTATATGGGTGGGAGAGGAGCGATTAATCGAGGGACGGCTACTGTTCGAGGAAATACGTTATTTCGTGCCCGTTGCTTCTTCAATATTTTCTCATCATTAATTTTTGCTGTGACGCAGATGCAAATGATGCGTGTTTTGGAACCGCAGGATCAGACGTCTGTGCTTGTAATCCGGGTTATAGAGGAAGTCCTTGTTCAGGTAGGTAAATACATACTTGCACTTAGACTCGTACGGTCTCACTTTATCTGTATCATGAACGGAATGCGCAAATCATTATCACTATCATCATCATTATTGTATTTGATAAAGCAGGTTAATAGGCCCATACAAAAGTTATGTGTTTTGATGTTGATACTTTAGGGAAACTGATTTAGAGACCCTTCTTCTACTTTCCTTCTTTGTGAAAATAAATTCACGATAATCATTCATATCGTGTTAAATTGAAATTCCCCTGTTCCATTATTATCGTACCCTGCAGCTAACTCTATTTGAATAAATTGCACTCTATATTAAAGAAGAAGAAGAATTCTAACACTTAAAAGCTCAGAAAAAATTTCCGAGCTCCTGGTGACAATCGAGAATCGCTTCTCTATAACCACTGAGCTACTAGAACTCTAATGGCGAGCAGGTCGGAATTTCAATACAAGTACACCAGACGTTTAGGGTGGCCATCCACCAGCGTACAAACCAAACGTTGTTTATTTCAAGAAGAAGAAGAACTCTAGCACTTGAAAACACAGACTAACTTCCAAGTAAAGTAGCACAGCTCCCGGTGTTAATACATCAGACTTTTTTCCGGCTGGTTAATTCCAACCGGCCTTGAGCAACGTTCAGTTGGTTTTTGCTATTTGTTTTTGTCAAATTCTCTTCCTTCAGTTCTGATCACCGGCACCGGATTCATTCTTTTTGCCCAAAATTCCATTTGGACTATTTAACAATAATTCCTCAAGCCCGAATGGGCTCTGAGTCATTAGCCCATGAGACTGAAGGCCGAATGGGCTATTAACTCAGAGGCTATGAGGAATAATTGTTTTAGTTTTTGGTCAAAAATATCGAGAATAAAAAATTTGTAGCAAGTTAGAGCTAGACTTTAATCCTTTTTTGCCGCCAAAAAGCCCGCGCTTTTCGCTACTAGTAGGCTATAACATATAGCCTAGAAGTAGCTCAACCAATCAGAACGCAGCATTGTAATAGACCACTAGTTGGATTTTACTAATAATAATTATTCAGGCTTCCAACTTCAACTTCAACTTCAACTTCAACTTTATTTCATAAGACTATTGGTTACAATAGACTGGCCCGCAAATTAGCAATTGCTAATCTAGGCGGACCAGTTAAAAGAAAAATAAATTGAAAGGAAAAGAAAGGAAAGGAAAAGGAAAAAGGAAGGAAAACTACAATTTTAAGTTACAATAAATAATATTCTATCACAGTTTTATTTTAATTACATTAAATCTGAACAAGCAAACAAACAAATACTTTAATACAGAAATCACTAAACTATTAATCGAACTTTTTCAACTATTAAGGGCGTCTCAATATAGTCATCTTCTCTTTTTAAGATATCCGAAAGCAATCTGTGAAGTACTTTCCTAAATTTCTTTTTAGGAAGATCTCTAATATGACACTGGGAAGTAGTGGACAACGAATTATTAAATTGGCCATGAAAGAGGCCTAAATTGCCTCTAAAAGTAAAGTAAGGCAGCAGAAATTTTCTGGAGTTTTTCTTTCAATTCAGCTATCTCATTTCGTAAAGATTGATTTTCCTTCCTCAGCTTTTCATTCCCGGTCATAAGTGGCAGAAGAAAGACTCAAATTCTAATCTTAGCTCGGAGAGTCTTAAACACACGTCCGACCAGTACAAGCACCGCACCAGTCCCCCCCTGACTTGACTTGATTTAATACAAACGACCTTATAACTCCGATAGGCTCAACCTTTCCATAAAAAACGGCAATATAATAATAATAATAATAATAATAATGATAATGATAATGATAATGATAATGATAATGATAATGATAATGATAATGATAATGATAATGATAATGATAATGATAATGATAATGATAATGATAATGATAATGATAATAATAATAATAATAGGCTTCAAGGCGGAGGGGTTGGTAGAATGGTTCATGGACAACATTTTAGGGCAAATGGAAACATTTTTATGTATTTTAACGTTTTAATATTTTGCAAATAAGAAAGGCTTCACGGCGCAGGGGTTGTTTACTGTCAAACGCTCAACTTCTGTGTTTATTACTAATACTGGGCATACAGACCTGTAAAACTGCCATAATAATAATAGTGATGATAAGGATGATAATAAACAGTTATTGGATGAGGTTTTGTGATATCCGGAATAATCAAAGTCGAGCAGTGTTATCAGCCGAGCGGAAGGCCGAGGCTGATAACACTTACCTCGACTTTGATTATTCCGGATATCACAAATACCGAGTCTAATTAACAATTATTCCTCGAGCCCGAATGAGCTCTGAGTCAATAGCCCATGAGGCCGAAGGCCAAATGGGCTATTGACTCAGGGGCCATGAGGACAAGAGGAATAACTGTTTTAGTAAAATCCAACCAGTTGGTAAAAAATATCGAGAATAAAAAAAATTTAGCTAGTTAATTCTAGACTTTAATCCTTTTTTGCCCCCCAAAAAGCCCGCGCTTTTCGCTACTAGTAGGCTATAACATATAGCCTAGTAGTAGCTCAACCAATCAGAACGCAGCATTGATAATAGACCACTAGTTAAATTTTACTAACAATAGTTATAAATTGTTTTGGAGAAAATAACGAGAAACAAACCGTCGCATTATTGAACCTGTATTGATATTGCTAGTGGAAATCACGCATTGCGCTCGCAGCTAGCATACAGATTAGTTAGTTATCTGCTAGCAGATAACTAGCTATCTGTAGGTTACGCTGATTTCCAAAATTAGCTGTAGGCTCTTAGCCAATGAGAAGACAGCTAAAGATAGAGTACAATGTATAATAACAAAATTAAATTATACTAAAAACTAAAAGCAGCAAAACTGTTTACAAAATCATAAAAATAGCCAACAGAACTATTTACTTGAGATGTCGACTTTGTAATGTCCTTTTAAAGGACTCAATGCTTTATATGTCTTGTTTGACTATCCACAGAGGTCGAAAAAGTAAGTTACAAGCGATTCTGAAGATTCAAACTCGTACATTCCTAGCTCATAAACATTACGAAAACCTTCAAACAACGCTTGAATAACATACAAATTGTTAAATTCAACTACTTATTAGTACTTCGCCTTTTGAATCAGGATGAATGGTCAGGAGCACGAATACTGAGTGCAGGTAAGGTGTCTCACCCGGCTTTATAAACTTTTAATTATTATTATTACTTACTTTTTCAGACGTAGACGAATGCACAGCAGGTACCCATGATTGCCATACGTCAGCTACTTGCACGAATACCAAAGGTTCTTTTGCTTGTTCCTGTAACCCTGGTTAAACGGGCGACGGTAAAACCTGTAGCAGCGGTAAGCTGTCTTAACCTACTAGGAACTAAATCTATCTGGATTGCTTCTGTTGTAAATCTAACTTTGTCTTCCTTAAAAAACACATTGGCTAGTAAGTACACTTCGATGATCAATGCTCATAAAAGGATAAAAAAAAAAAAAGAAAACAATGAAAATGTAATTGGGAGCTGGAGGCACATTGATTGCAGGTAGGAGCTGCAGGTAAAGTGTCTCCTTATTGGTCGCAAGAAACAATAATATTTCATTCTTCCAATTGTTTTAGTAATAAGTATTGTTTGGGGTCAGGGAAACGCACCATTGCTGACTTCTCTTCCGAGCAGCTGCTTCATGACCATTGATTCCTCGGCTGCCATACCTCACAATAACATATCATAATGCCTTCAAAATCAACAGTACTGTAGTACACGAAAAACCATACAACCAAATCCAAATTATTCATTCATTGCAATCTTAGGATCCAAGGACGGCGACACCTTTTTCCCTTTCGTCAACTATCGTTGCCATTATTTCCACCATTGATAAGCTAGCATTTATGTAATAAATTCCCTGAAGGCAAATTAGTTGTAGAAAGAACGTACTATGCGACAGGTCTCCGTGCCGCCAGCCAAAGTTTTAATAAGACGAAGGACTTCTTCGAAAGTTGAAGATATTACTTGAGAATGTCAGCAATAAATCTAATAAGTCTGGAAGAAAATCATGATATAATTTGACAGTTCTATTGTCTTCAAAAGAGAAAAAAACAGATAACGCTCGAGAGTGCGCATAATCGGAGCGCTGTCCCTTTAAGCGATTGTTTTCCTACCGGCATTTTCTGGCTTGCTTTCATTATATTGACATCATCCTTGACATAATAACAGATTATGACGCCTAACTTGTCTCTGGGAGAAGAAAAGCCAGCGATACTTAGGTGGAGGAGTATTAGGAATGCCAGTACAGTACAGACGACAACAATCAATGAAAATCAATCATTGATTTCAATCAATACAATCGATAAAAATCAATAAAAATCTATTGATTTCTATTGATTGGCTTAGCCAATCAATAAAAACCCATAATCACTCACCGGTAATGCAACAGTAAAAACCCTAGCCTCACAAGCAGTCGTTCTTAGGGGTTCGTCACGCGTTCCTGTCCCACTAACGACGTTAGTGGGGCGGGAATGCGTGACGAATGTAGAAGGCCTAAATGTAATAAACCACCCTAAATGTAATAAAGTCCTAAATGTAATAACATTTTGTCCTAAATGTAATAAACTCCTAAATGTAATAACGCTTTGTCCTAAATGTAATAAACTCTTAAGTTGCAAATTACATTAGTTACTCAAATAAGCGCCGCCCTCCAACGAGCGCCACATTTGGGCGCTTTGATAAGCGCCGCGGCGCTTATTTGTGTAAATACGGTACTAAGAGGTATTACTATGGTTTTAAGCTCCGCCCTCAAATAAGCGGCGGATTTTTGGCGAAAAAATTTAATAAGCTTTGGTACATTTCCTTAGGCCCGCTATGTAACTTGACGTCGTTTACAAATAAATTGCCTGTAAAGGGACAAAGTAAATAATTAAAAAAACTTGTAAGCCTTAAAAAGTCTTTCATACTTCATTTTACTTAAAGAAATTTACTGCAAAAACCGTGGACGAAGATCCTGTTGCTTGTCAACGTTGGATCTCCAGAAAAGAGATCTAATCAGCTAAAACGTTAAAAAAAAAACAAACAAAAAAAAAAACGAGAAGTCTAAGGGCCTGTTTACACGGAGCCGGGGGACCCAAGGCAGGTGAGGTAACCCGCTTTGGTGCGTAACCCGCCTGTCCACATAATCTCTTACACTGCACGAAAAATTGGATTTACACCAAATTTACTCAGTGCAAATTTGGTGCAAAAGAATGTAAACTAAGGTTAAATAAAGGGCAAAGGTGGTAAAATACCGCATTTGCCCTAAAATTTACACCCCCATGTAAACTGGCAAGCAAATGCGGTATTTACCATCTTTGCTTTTAATTTCCCCCTAGTTTGCACTTTTTTGCGCCATATTTGCAGCGAGTAAATTTGTGTAAATCCAATTTTTCGTGCAGTGTTATTTTGTTAGTACAAATAGGACTTTATTACATTTAGGGTCGTTTATTACATTAGGCCTTCTACAACGAACCCCTAAGAACGTCTGAGTGGGAGGCTATAAAAACCCGGGTAGGCATTAGGTTAAATGCTGGTTAAACGTCGGTCGCAAGCACAACAATGTAGTTACGTTATGTCTGTGGAAATTTCTATTTCCTGTGTAGTCATGGAGTATCACCACTGTCCTTTTAAAGTAAAGGAAGGGAAAGTGTTTTCCGTTTCCAAGAAGAGGGGAGAACTGAGGGAAGAACGAGGGGAGAACGGAGGGAACTGAGGCCAGCTTGGCCATCTCCAAGCCGATCTTGTCACCCCACTTTATCCACATCAAGTGGATATTTCCGCNGTCGGTCGCAAGCACAACAATGTAGTTACGTTATGTCTGTGGAAATTTCTATTTCCTGTGTAGTCATGGAGTATCACCACTGTCCTTTTAAAGTAAAGGAAGGGAAAGTGTTTTCCGTTTCCAAGAAGAGGGGAGAACTGAGGGAAGAACGAGGGGAGAACGGAGGGAACTGAGGCCAGCTTGGCCATCTCCAAGCCGATCTTGTCACCCCACTTTATCCACATCAAGTGGATATTTCCGCGTAAGTACAGTAAACGGAGAAATAAAACAGTCTGTAGAACAATTTACACAAATCACACTACAGCCAATAAAATCGATGTAAATCATGAAAATCAATGAAAATAAAGAATCACTCAAGACTGCGGCTTTGATTTTTATTGATTTTCAATATCTATCAATTGATTGCTATTAATTTTTATGGACTATTGTTGATGTTATTGATTATTGATTTTGTCTGAATGTTATCGTCTGGTAGTACAATGTACAAGCATTTGCGGTACTTACAGTCGAGGCCCCTGTCCGTCCTGTCATGATTGACTGTTCCTCGAGATCAGCAATGACGAGATCATTTTCGCTATTCCCCTCTTTATCTAACACGGTATCCGATTCTTCACTCTCCTCTTCACTGCCCAACAACTCACTTCCGTTGTCTGGACTTTGATGATGATGATAATAATAATAATGATGATAGTGGTAATGGGAAATTATATAGCGATCGGACAAGGAAAAAAAACACTTTAACGGCGATTGAAAAATATCGGTATGGCCTCTGAAAAGCTGTATCGAATCACCTTAAGCCTAGCGACGTTCTTGTAATGCGTTTTCTGGAGCTCTTTCTCGTCCTACAAACTTCCGCCCACTCCTCGAATTTAAAAAAGCGAAAAATGGACAAAATGAGTGGAAGAACACATTTTTGTTGTAGGTTGTTGGTCTCGCTTGCGTAAGCAGCGAGACTCATAATCTGCAACGCGTTTTCCCCACGGGGGGTAGTCCCTTATATAGGCTATATAGGTAAGTGCATCGCCAAAGTGTATGTCTTTTTAGCCGTTTTGGTCTGAAATAGGGAATGGTTTTTGCACTCTAGTCTTGAATTGGGTCTGTTTTTTTAGAAGAAGCTACTTCATCATTTGGCGATAAGACCATTTCCCTTTTAATGCTTACGCATTCACGCGCCGGGCTCCAGGGATTCAGATCTGAAATAGGGTATCAAATTTTTGATTAGGTCTGAAATAGGGTAGTAAAAATCACAGATTTTGGTCTGAAATAGGGTGATTTCAGGAAACGTGCCGCACACCCACCACCCAATTTCTCTGGAAACACCCCCACCCTCCCCCCCCCCCCCCCCCCGGGTTTTTTCTGAATTTTTTTTAGCCCTTTTTGCAAAAAGGCTTGCGAAAAAAATTGGCCCCCGACAATCCCAAAGGGAAAAATGGGTATATATAAAAAAACTTTCCCTCCACACTTATACCGTGACAATACTTTTTTTTTTTT